AATTGTTATTTGATATCTGAAAGATGCAAGTTTGATATGAAGATTTGTACCCACCATTACTGTAATTATTACGTGATGATTTTTAATACATGCACTACCATCTGATCTTTCTTGCATCAAAAGATATATTTTTTTGGTATTTAATTTTGTTTGTTTTTAACCAGTAATTTGTGCAATCTATGATGAATATTGTTGAATCATTACTGATATAAATATGATTATCATTAAACATATCACCATCTTTCGGCTGAGATTGCACAAATTGAATCAATTTTAAACTTTTAGGTTTATTTGAAAATATAAAATGCCTGAGGTATCTGATGCCAAGTCTTTTGAATCAATGGCTTAGTGTCTCGTTTGGATGGCGGAAATTGAAATTTTGGTCTTGCGACACAGGTTGCTGTAAGCTTCTTGTTACTTAATGACTGATTACATATTGAAATTTTTTGTTAATTTTCCTGTATTATTTAAAAATGTTTATTTTGGATTGGTTAGGATGTTAACTTCGTTAGTCCAAATCAAAACACAATTTTGGTCCAATTTTTAATTTGTAGCTATTTATTTGAATCAAAATGTTTGTAATATGTTAATTCTTTTAAGCTTTGTTATTAATCCAAATTAATATATTTTTTTCCAAAAATTAATGGATATTTTTGAACTTTTTTTGAGTGAATAACCTTACCAAACTCAGAAATGATTTATGTTGGTCATCTACAAACTGTAAAAGTAAAGAACAGCATCTCTTAAGCTTGACCATTTCGAAGAGCCTTGTAGGATCCCTACTAGACCCTTTTGTTCACCTCCGACCACCAAACTTTATAGCCTCTCACTACCGAAAGGGTTTAATCCAATAATCTCTGATTAAAGTCTTTAATCACTTGTTTTAATTCTAAATAAAAGTAGATTAACAAAAAAAAACCCAAACAAATTGCAAATGATTCATTTTGCTGAGGTAAAATTTATTGAGAATAGAATTTGAATTTCATTTAGTCCATACTCCCTGATCAGCTTGTTGAGGTGGTGCTGAAAATGTGCTACTGATCCATCAACACTGGGTTTATCATTATGTTTGATCTTATCAGATGCCGGGCTTCTTTGTTGTTGGGGAAGGAACTGACTTTTTCGTCTTACCATGCTCTCCGTGGCTGTCAAGCTCAAGATCCTGCTTTCTGCTAGGATCTTCCTTAGTATTCCTGTGAACTAGACGACTTCAGCTAAACTGAGGACATTGTTTTGGAACAACCATGAAACGTGCCACTACTTACACGTGTTGCTGTGTAACACTTAAAAAGAGGAATTGGAATCTACGTGTTGGTGTTGTGATATATGTTCATGCCGGGTGGGATTTAGTTGCTAGTGGAGAAAGAGGAAAGAAAAAGGCAAAATAAAGGAAACCTCCAAAAAAATGTATCTTTAGAATTTTTTTTGTATTTTATAAAATCTGGTAACGAAATTAACCAATGGCCCGTTCAGAAAAAGGCCCAGAATGTATTTTCCGACCCTCTGAAATGAGAAAAGTTATAAGTTAGTTCGGTAACACAATATAATATAAAAAGAATTAAGAGAAGTTGAGTAATTTATTCTGACCCTAAGTTTTAGGGCCCGTTCGGCAATTAAAAGGAAAGTGGGAAGGAATTTTCTTAAAAGTAGCAACTTGCTAGCAGAAAGTAGAAAGTTAGGATCCAAAACTTATGGGGATAATGCATTTTCAAGTTTATTAATAATGACTTTCTAAATTTATTTTTATGGTTAGACGAATAGATTTATAGCTTCTTTTTAGGAAGCAAAGAAATGCATTTTTGGGCTGATTTAAACAGCGATTTTGTTGGAAAGTATTTCCTAATTTATCACTACTTACCGAATGGGCCCAAACGTGCTCTAAGTATTTTCTTACTAAGTTAGAAAATATATTTTTGGGCTATTGTCGAATGGGCCCAAACGGGTTCTAAGTATTTTTTTACTAAGTTAGAAAATGTATTTTTGGGCTATTGTCGAACGGGCCCTTAGGATCAATCAATCAATGAAGCAGAAGAATCTATAACAAAGTTTAAGATAAAAAATGAGATGAAGATCCATGAGTCGGGCTGGATATGAGTAACGTTTTGGATTGGGCTGGATTATAAACTGCATCCATGTCCGTCCTGTTTGGTTCTGATACATTGACTGTTAAAATTTGTACTACACACCCTCTTTCATCTACCATCAAAAGTCCCTCGGGATGTGGAATATATGAAACAGATGCTGACATGGCCAACACTGTTGGATTTTATATAGTACAAGATAAGAATCGGATAAACTATTCGATTCTCGTTTAGGAGCTTGGGAAGAAGAAGAAGGAAGTGTTTCTCAATGGAAGCAATTTGTTACTCTACGGTTGCTTCCCGCCAATTTACTTCTCTTCCATCAACACCAAGTTTATTCAAAACGAAAACCACAAGAAAATCTACGAAATTCAGCTTTTCTTGGACTGGTTCAAGCTTCTCAATTCAACATTCTTCAAGGAATTACTTCACTGTAAGTTTAAACACAATAATTTTCAAGTTTTTGGAGTTTTGAATTGAATTTCCAACATGTGTTTTTGTTTATAATGACAGAGAGAGATATGGGGTTGGGTGAAATCCAAGAGTGTGACTACAGTCAGAAGAGAAATGCGTGGAGTTGTAAGGGCAGAAATGTTTGGGCAGTTGACAAGTGGTCTTGAAACTGCTTGGAACAAACTTAAAGGAGAAGGTTATTGCTCTTCTTCGTTATGAATTAGCTCAAATTTTGTTCATTCCATTCTAATTCATTTACAACCATTTTGTTCAAAAAGATGCACAATACCATACTTATAGACTTGTAGTAGAATTTCAATTTTAACCAGAATCGTCTAAATTAAGTAATGTAATAGCAAAATCATGCTAAGAGACTTCATAATACTAAACTGATTGTGTAATATACTCTTTTAAGAATAAAATATGAGCTAGGAACTTGGTAACTGAATTCCCATTAATAATCCCAAAGCAATGTTTACAATACATGTACCACTCTTGGACAATGTATCATCTGGGTAAACCGGTAAACTAATCCCATGGCAAAGGGGAGGCAAAATGAGTTAGGAACTCAGTAACAGAAATATACAACTCAAAAGTCCTATAAGAATGAGAATTGTGAAGTGTCAGGCAGGATTATCTATCATCTAACTAAGTGGCCAATTGGTGATCCAACCTATGCCAAAAATCATCTGCAGCCTTAATGAAGTATTATTCCAACACTAATTTTTGTTGCCTTGGGGAAGAATATAGGGTCCAGTCCAAAATCTTAATATGTGAAGACTGTTGTATACACTTGTCTCCTTAATTGTCAATTATTGAAATGTTTGTTTCCCTGTTCTTGTGTGAGAGCTAACTTTTCTGTAACCATTGCGTTTCAGAGGTTTTGACCAAGGAAAATATTGCTGAACCTATGCGAGATATTAGGAGAGCTCTATTAGAAGCAGATGTAAGTGTGTGTGTTTATTATAATGTGTTAAATCTACTAAGAGATAAAAGAATTTAATTCACATCCCATGGACAGGTAAGCCTTCCCGTGGCCCGAAGATTTGTTCAGTCTGTTAGTGAACAGGCTGTTGGGGTTGGCTTGATTCGAGGGGTGAAACCAGATCAGCAATTAGTGAAGGTATGTTAATGTGCTTAATGTAATGAAGTACCTCTTCAATATTATTTTCTATAGTTCTCAATGTTCATTACACCTTTTTAATGATCATTTTAAGTGTTTGATATTTGGAGATTTTGTTCATATGATCTTGTGAGTGAATTATGTCCCATGGCAGATTGTAAGAGATGAACTCGTAAAATTGATGGGTGGAGAAGTATCTGAATTGGTTTTTGCAAAATCTGGCCCAACAGTGATATTATTGGCCGGTCTACAAGGAGTTGGAAAGACAACTGTTTGTGCAAAGTTAGCGTTTTATCTCAAGAAGCAGGTTCTCT